ATCGTCGGTATCTGAACCATAGTCAGATGCGCAACTTGAAGTTGGTTCTTCCTCGATACGCATCATGGTGTTGAATATCTGAGAGTGATGTTCGACACCCAGCTTCAGTGCTCGCAAGGCTAGATATTTGTGGCTTCAGAAAAGACTAGAATTACTTGTAAGTCTCGTGATCATTATGTGAGTATGCAAGCTGGTGTGCCGTGATGGGTGGACGTGGTATGACAAACACAGCAGCTCGATGATGGTGCGGCTATCAGCCGCACAGTAGCACGGCTTCTTCACCAATTGCTCGAGATGGTTCCGTGAGGTGGATTTGCTTCTTCTCCAAAGCTGTAGTCACGATTGTGCATATTCTACTAGTGACGATCATACCCTGGATCATTCATCAAAACGGCAACTTCAAACTCCAGGATAGCGGTGTTTTCCGTTCATGCTGGAGTTTTAATACCTCACAACGGCATGATGAAGATTTCCTTAGGCGTGAATTTCGTAGTCAATCACATTGTCTGCTTCGTGTTGGAGGCATAGTCTTCTTTACCCTACTCAGTCTGAGGATCATAGCCTGAGGCGTGTATACATTAGATTCGTCAGCGAACAAAATCACAAAAGTCACTGATTCCTTCTTGTGGCTTGTTGAAAATGTCAAACTTTGCATTGATGAGAGGGTTGAAATGGCGAGTATCTAGATACTGCTTTTGTGGAGCGTATAGACCGCAAGACTAAAATAGTATGATGATGACCATGGGTCTTGATTTTAACGAAGCAGAATAACATGACCATCAACAATCCTTAGATGAAAACAGTTTGCCCCGTCATATGGTCACTGCTGTCAATGTAGATAGCAGATGTCAGTTCTGACGGAAGGCTATCTAAGCAGTGTGGCCTAGACAAGACTACCTTCCCATCGCTTATTGAGGGTGTCATGATCAAAATCCCCACAAAACCTCCTTTCTCTGATGTCGAGGGTTGTCGAGACTTTTCGTAGACACTGCTTTTCTTATGCAGCCTTAGAGGTGGTGGTCTTGAGCGCTCGTACAAGGACTCAGTCGAAGGTAAGGGTGGCAAACGTTTGTTTCTATCCGGGTGATGTGTGCGATTGTCAGCGCTTGACAGCTTGTGCCGCGACATAGAATTGTGACAAGCTAAGGGAGTACATGATGTCCGGGCATAGACCAAAAAAAAACCTGTCTTATGTACTCCTACCTGTAGTATCTTTTATCACTAGATCGTGCGATAATCCAAGCTCATGACAGCATTCTTTGTACAACATCTGCTAGATTTGCTGATCTACTTCTTCTCAGGTGCCGTCCTGCAGTCTCCATCGAGAAGCGATTCCCTCACTTGTATGTACACAACAGTCTGGAACCCAATAACCACAGACACTATGACAAGACGACATGAAGTTTCCATGGCGGAACCGGAATAACACGTAGCATCGACTGCAATGCTGTAACCACGATTAAGACACAATTACATGATCAGAGGAAAGTGGCCACAGCTTTTTAATACCTATCATCTCATCGGTTGTGCAGCGCTTGCCACCTGATGCAGTCCCTCTCTTGATGGCCTGGATTCAAGGCGACTATTTTGCGTCTCATCTAGTCTTGAGTGACGGGTGCGCTGGAGACATGGTTCCCATAGGCATCTCAATTCCATCACCATATTGTACGGGATCCTGCATCAAACTCTGACGAACACTGTCTGATGATCTTCTCGCACTTTACCAGTGAGCTCCACATAGCCATGCGATCTCGCGCCACACAACTAAGTATGTTTGTTCGAATCCCAAGTTCTATCCAGTATCATCTTCTCGCACATGATGATCTCAGATGGTTCGACTGGAAACAATCCAACGTCTCGGATGCCCCTTCTGTCTCGCGCTTTTGCTGGACTCTCGGGCTCTTGGTAGAGTTTAACAACAGGCGGTCCATGTACCTTAGTTGTTTCCTTGCCACTTCCGTACGAACTAGTATCCCAGACTGTTGGACTCCAATCCAGACGAAGCGGGTCGAAATTATCGGGTTGTTCTTGACCTTGATTGAATATCAGGTGGACTGGGAGTTTCGTTCCCGCTTTGTCTAGATTCGTGAATCTTGAGTTCGGTTGAGACTGCGTCCTCGGAACTCTGTAGTGGGATGGTCCAGCAGACATTTGTATGGAGGCGAAGCAAGACCTTGCGATACGCAGCTGCCACGGAGCGCCGACCACTGATAAAGAATTTGTACATTCCAGAACAGAAGACGGTTTTACGCACATAAGCTAATCCGCGTCATGAAAACTCGAATCTCGTGATCCAGCTGATGGATCGCGTATGAGAGATACCGTTAGCTGATCATCGCTGCCATCTCGTCAGGCTAGCTACAGTACGAAGATCGTTGGAACGTCTGCTTCGACAGTGACTATTAGATCGTCTTACATTCGGCTCCACCCAGACCTCTTGAATGATTACATCGCGCCTTTAAGGTAATCACATGATCATGACAGGACGCAAGACTATAAAGTTTCTGTCGCACGTCTTCTGCCGACCTCCTGTTGAGCAAGTTCAGCATGGGAGTAACATTCGAAGAGAACAATACCCACCGGTCGCGATCGTCTGGGAATACCAAGAAAAAACGTCCCGCTTCGCCATATCCCAGCTCTGGAAAGGGTAAAGATAGTACACGGGAGCTTTCCGACAAGCTTGGAGGAAATTCGAATACTGAGAGCAAGACAGAGCTAAGTTTGAAGCATGATACAAAGTTCTCAGAGCTAACACACAGCCCGAATCCTTGACCTTGACGAGACCATCTAGAGCCGTTATTCTCGGTCTTGATTGATCACAGGAATTTAGAACGACACAGTTGCTGCGGATCAGACAAGTTCATAAGGAAATTGGATTGTCTTGAGACGTATTCAGAGGTAGATCCACCAAAGGACATCACATCTTTCGACATCGTCATTGGAGGCATAATCGACCGGAAGGCTGCCGGATATCATTGAGCAAGACCTCGAGGGGTAGTGGTAGTTCAGCTGGTGTGCTGCATGATTTCATGTTCCTTGTAGACCCTTCTCTATCGAAGGCAGGAAGTGTTTCATTGCTGACCGCCGACCTAGATACTCGCGTATGTAGAACAACAGGTTTGCTTTTGACAGACAGCCTCACAGGTTCCAAGGTCAAAGTGACTAAAAGCTTCTTGCGTATGAGCCCCGCATATTGCAAAGATAATGATTTGTTCTCCGGATGCATCATCCGCCGAGATCTCATCCAAAGCGGTACAAAGGATGTTTGATAGTTTAACGACTAAATTTGAAGGAACTGTAACGATGTAGTGACACAAAAATCATCTACGGGCCTGGTCGTAGAACCATAACGGAGACGTGGAGAGACCACAACGGCATTGCTACAGGCTCATGACAGGAGTCTTGATGGACGTGACTCCTTGTACATATTTCCCCGGGAAGGTCTGGGCTCGGTTTCCAAAACATGAGGAGATATTCTGGCTGGTGAGGGCTTTCTCCCTCGATATCTATGCGGTACCTCATACAGAGTGCTTCGAAAGATGATGCATAGCAAACAGCGCCTCTGGCAAAGGTTCAACAGTTGACAAGATGATCACTTTATCACCGCTGTCGCCTTATCTATCTACAGTCTATTTCTCGCATTCCAACACATATGTACCCACGTGTGTAGCGCAAAGAGACCCTATAATAGGCCTGGTCAGGCGCACAAGAGCCGTCTCGCTGGAATCCTCAAATATAGTGCAACATCCGCTGTAGTGGAAACAAAGACTAGACGCTTCTTGATAACACAGTCGAGCTCAGCGTGCCGATTGCCATCCTGGCCGCCGTACGAAATTCGTTTGGCAATTAACGGCAGGTGATTTCTCAAGTATTCAGTCTGAATTTTCTGATGTTTGTAGGTTCTACATACCGAAATGACTTTCATTGTCTCCCATTCTAGACGAGCAGAAAAAGAGATCTCCCGGTCCCAACAGAAGTCCCAAGGCATCTGCACGATTGTAGGTCAATGTGCTCCGTTAGCAGACGCGGTGTGTTCACGCTGGAGCAGAACACTTCCAAGTGGACGCGGTGCTGTGAACAATTCGCAAATTCTACGAATCTACGAGAGGGGTTCGACCATATCAAGTCAGACCGTTTCGGTCTTGCACCCACCACTTCTCTAAAGCATGGAAACACAGAGCCGGAGCGAGTATCATCAACCAATGCAGGAATGGCTGTGGCGTAAGCACGTATCGAAAATTACTGGTTTTTGATGTCTTACGACAGACCTGGACCGTGCGTTTTGGGGGCAGAGGGGGGGGGGGGGGGGTCGCTTTTTCGAGCGAGGCGTGTATTGAATGTTAGTGCGGAGAAAATTACAACGCATAGACCGGGATCCGGATTCGCTCCACATAATTATTGACCCACCCCTTGGGCGTATCGGGTTTGTCATAAACATCGCACAAGTATCCGGACCAAGTCTAGGTATAGTGACGTGGCGAAGATGTTAGACCATGGGATTACTGAGTTTCGGGGGTCAACTGCTCAACATTATGTAGTCACAAGGATTGCACCTGGATCTGGTGTTTATAATCCTGTCTATAACAACTCGTCCTGGAGATCTGTTCTCGAGACTAGCAATGGCGGAGCGAATGACAGGTTAATCGCCTGTTGTTTCATTCACTATCTCAGACGCTAGCTGAGACGACATGACGCTCAGCAGGTGGCGCATAAGGTGGTGGGGTTATCAATGCCGGTGTTCAACGATTATATGTTACCGTCAGGTTAGCTTCTTTGAAGTGGAAAAAGTTACCCACTCTTGCTTTTTAGTACCTGCCGCAATGCTGTGGTTCTCGAAAATCGAGTGGAGCAGTCGAACCTGTATCAGTTAGACGAACATAATAGGAGCTGAGATCAGCCATGTCAACACCTCCACCATACCTCTCCTAGATCGTGATCAGACTTGAAGCCTTCAATCTGGCCCTCACGCTTATGAGAAACGACGTGTCACCATCCTCAATTGACATGCATAATTGGGAACGACCTGCTCCTAGACCGCCACCTGATCCGCACCGCCTTCCGAATCCTTACACGTTTCAGGGACAACCACAAGTGCGGCCCCCTCTTCCGTATTCGCTACAATATGTGCCGATAGATCCCCAAGTCGCTGGACCAACATTGTTACACCTCAATCGCCAATCTGCGCACTTGCCGCCGAAGAGGTCATATGGTATCCCTGCGAATGGGCACGTTGTTCACCAAGGGCAAGCCCCGTTGAAGCGATCTCTACCGAATACCCAACAAAGACCCGCTCCAACGGCTAGTGGAGGATCCTGTACTTGTGACACACATCTGATGTCCCACGTCAAAGATGCTGTAGATCGATTCAGCGAGCTTTCGCAATGGTTACAACAACGGTTCAACGCACTACGAGACCAGGGGGACGAAAATCATACTACCCTCCTGGAAGGCCGGGATGACATAAAAAACCTCCTATCCCACGTCAAAGATGCTGCAGATCGACAATGGTTACACCTACAATTCAACGCACTACGAGACCAAGGTGACGAAAACCATACTACCCTTTCGGAAGGCCAGGACAACATCAAAAACCTCCTATCCGAAATCCGAAGTCTACAGTATCAAGCTCAAGATGAACAGCGCATTTTAAAGAGCATAGTAGGTGATCAAGCAAACGAGATCTCTCAGCTGCGTGATTTGTGGGAGAAAAGGCAGAGCCGCTCGAAGCCGCATTCTGGTACCAACGAGCGTTCCTCGAAGCGAAAGAGAACCAATCAAGAATTGAATCAAGCTCCGAAACAAAAGCGTGCTCGGAGGTCGAATCAGCAAGGCCCCATCGGAGGGACAGAAGCGAACGACGGAATAGATCTACGACGATCTTTGAGAATAGCTCATGTGAATGAGGGGATAGCCAAGATGAGAGGGCCTGATAGACCATAAGCAGGTAAAAGCACTCAGCATGCTTATCGTCTTGTTTACCACCTCGTCCACTGTGCCCAGTAAGGCGTCGTCTCTCATCTGTTCTATTCATTTGTGTGCCTGTCGCCTTCCGTGAGTTCAAAATGATGTCCACGTTCAAGCCGAGGTTGGAGAAAGCGCGTGAAAGACTTCTCTCTCTGCTCAAGTTGGCTACGGAGGCATATTCTCGCGTTTTGTGCACGTCAATCCGACCGTATAGCAACCGCTGGGAAAGGCATGTTGGTTTACATGCTGTGAGAAAAGTCCTAGAAGCGAGTCATGGACTCTTTGAGATAGGCCTACCTGTCCCTGCACAAAGCTCTCCAAACCTTCTAGAATATTGTTGCGGAATTCGACGCTTCGATTCGTAGCTCTGATGTTATTCTCCCGTTTGTGCTAGCTTCGGAGTTAGGCAATGCGATACTGACAGCGCTACTGGCTTGACTGCACTCAGGTAGCTTGAATAAGGCTAGTGCTCAGAGACTAGAGGAATTTTCGGGTATGAGTTTGTCGTTTGGACACCAACGAGCGAGCTTGATCACCTCGAGGGCTATGACGATGCGTAGGGTCGTGGTGGCGAAAGGTATGTCGACGTGTACGAATGATCTACGCTTCTGACTGACCCTTACAATAAGCTCGAGCCACTGCATGCTCTACCAGCTATTGCACATTCATTAGCTGTGTTTACGCAACAGTCTGACGGCCTCTTTTTTTCTTCGAGCTGATGTCCAAGTCCTGTCGAGATTCTTACAAGACTTCATTTCACTTTCTGTTATCAGTGTCTTGTCTTGATTTAGCTGTGATCGATGGTTGGTGATTCAACGTGGAAGTGTGTAGGTACGATCGGGTTTGTGTTCTGCTTCACAATGTGATGATATCCCTTTTCGTCTCTCATGTCAAGTTCCTGCGGTCTGCGAATGGTCGGCGAATGACCTGCAAAGTATCGGTACGCGGCTTGCTATATTCGAGCTATGACTATACTTCCTCTAAGTCCAGGGATGTGCTCTCATTGAATCCCATCTCGGCTAGAACGATCACAATATCAGAGATCAAGTCGCTTGTGGGGCAAATGCTTGAAGGGCCATTCATGCATATATTTGTATGATATGCCTAGGACCATGAACCTTTCGGATGGCCAATACAACTCAACAAGCACTACTTCAGACCGTTGACCTTGGCAGCGAACACTCCGACACACAACGATGATAATTAAATGATCAATGGAAAGTCAAAGTGCGTGATAGCATTGCTGAACAACCAGGATGTGTGATTGGAGCATTCTAAATGGCTTGACATGCGGATGAGATGCAGAAAGCAGGAACTCTTGCTTCACAGGTGGCGTTCGGCTCCCGACTCTTTGCACACTAGCTTGTAGTATCCCCATACCCCATGGAGAGGATAGTGGTGACTCTTTGTTAATCGAAGTTAGCGGCCAGGCATGGAGTGTTGGAATCAGATAAAAGTACCTTGCCGGGACACGGTTCTGGACTCCACATGTACATCTTTTCCCAGCAATGACTAGTCTGTCACAGCTACACCGTCGAACCTATGAATCTTGTCAGCTCAGTTGATGGTCAAGAATTGGTGAGAACCACGGCATTCATCTTCGTAGCAATACCGTCCGATTTCCCATCCTTCTCTACGACGAAGATATGATCCTTGGCTCCGTTGGAGATCGAGAGCGATTCGTGTTCGAAAAGCTTCTTTAGTTCAATCACATGTGCCGATTTCTGAACAGTTCGTGTTTTAGTAGAGATGAGTGAACGTTTTTAAGCATCGAGGAGCTTACTGATTAAGAGTCACGGCTGTTCGAGTATTGTTTCAGAAAACGAATGTTTGCAAAAAGGCTAGAGTATGCAAAAGTGGAAAAGGCAAGTGCACATGAATCATAATTCAAACACAGTAACGACTGCATACATCCGGTGCTGGATCAAATGCTGTGTGACCGATATGATGCATCCGACCGACGCAGTATGCATTGGCCCACAGTACTTTGACATTGCAACTGTAAATAGTCACACGGGTCGTCGGCTGTGTGATTCAGGATGGACGTGCATGGATAAACAATCGTCGGGTCAGCCAACTTGACCGGACTCTAGACGCACATATCCAAGTGCTACGGGAATCATACGTGTTCAACAAACTCGTTCGATTCATTTCCAGACTATTCAAATATGCAGTACATATTCACTACTATACCAGAAAGATCATAGCAGGCTGGAGCGCATTCTCAAAGTTGCGGCATTGTGAAACAAACCTAAGGACTGTTTGCGACCTTGAACTGTGTGACTTGAACATAATATACAACCCTGTGGCTGAAACAGATCTGTGTCGCCCGGGCGTGATGAAAAATTGATTCCAGGGGGCTTCATAGTCCTTCAGATGTGTCACTCGCGTAGTGGCAGGTGCTGCCCCTCCTCTAGCATACTTGAAGACAATGGAGTCAGCACTCAATCGAAACTTTTCGCCCCTGAGTATTATAGGTGAAAGTGCTCTTACCCATGACTGGTGAATTGTTTCCTTGCATACGCTATTGTATGGTGGTTCTTTGAATGCGAGACAACAAAGAATAGCGCACGATTCGCCGATCGGGATTGGATTTTGCTTCCGTTGAATGGCTAAGGATCTTCAGCACGGACGACCGCGGAGGAAAAACAACACAGATACCATCGCAAATGAAGGATTAGAGAACTGGTACGAGCGGATACTACAAATAAGCTCTCGGGCAGTTTCTCGTATCATTTCGTTCTCCCAGTCATCGATTCTGGCACTCCAACTCGTTTATCCTCGTACCAAAGCATTTATTCAATGTAGAGTGCCGATAAGAGTCTGTGCCGGAAGACCCGGCGTTATGCTGTCTCCAAGTCTCGAGACACGCACATGCATATCTGTGACTCTTTGGACGCCCTTATTCGAAAAGCGAGCGAATTTTGCCCAATTCACTATCTGATATCTGTACTGGGCCGTCTGCGAAGGGTGTTAGTGGACCATAAACGATGTTGCAAAGCAAACTATTCAGGTTTTCGGCCAGGGTTCCATTGACTTACCGTGTACAGGGAGCGCGACATTTCCAGGAGCGCGGTCCTTTTCCCCAGACATTCAGACATGCCAGAGCCAAGAACAAGCCCAAGAAAGTCTTCCATGCGTTGGAGATCTTTTATGTCGGACTTCAACCATCGAGATAGGTCGAACTCATCTGCTTGGTCGCCAAATATCTTTGGATCCTGCATAGCCGCACCTAGACACACCCTGGGTCACAAGTCAGTGTTTCGTCGTCTGGCAGGATAACAAGGTATTTACCCAATCAAAGTGCCACCTGGAATTCTGTATTCCGGATAGCCAGAATCACGCACGCACTTTTCCCTGAAGAATGCTGCGGGAGGACAGACACGTAAACACTCATTGATGAGTGCTGACGAATATGGATGTGCATTCCGATTCAAGGCTGGAGGTATACCACTCGTCCATTTCTTGAAGTAATGATTTAGCTCGGATCTGACAGAATTCTGTTCATCCAACGGCTGTTTCATGTATTTCGCACACATATGAGCAATAGCTGGGGCTGTCACTGCAGCACTAGCTATTCTAATCAAGGTGTTAGCTGGACCAGCATAGTGATGCGCAATAATGTATGGAGGGCTTACATCTGGACATTGAGGTTGTTAGCCGCTTCCTCAACGCTGAGATCTGCGTCCATAAGACCAGATATGATGTCGGTATATAGTCTTTTCTGTGGGATGCTTCGCGGAGCAGATGTTCGTTTGTTCTCCACAAATCGGCTCTCGACGATCTTCAGAACAGTAGCAAGTGTTTTGCCGAAAGCGATATGTCGCTCGAGCCTCAAAGTGGCCAAGAGCCCTCCTACAAAGACTTGTGTCCACGGGAACATAGTCATCATCATGAACCACCATTGACCTTGGAAAACGGCAAGACTAATGCATCCAACGTCTTGTTCATCTAAGTCCTGTTTGGCGCGTTAGCGGCCGCCCTTAATAATAGGTACATGTCTTCGAACCTGTCCGGATGCCATGTTCGAGAAGGCCTGTAAAGCGAACCTCTCAATGATAGGCGCAAAATCTATGATTCGTGTAATATTATCGTTTGCTTGATCGATATGCTTCTCAATGGGCCCCTTGATATGAACCTCGGCACTGTGATGCAGGGCCTTCAACATGTCGAAACTATTGTAAGCAGCTGTTAATCTCTTTCTATACTGTTCCTGATGTTCACCGTCCGTCATTGTCGTCACATTGCGTTCATGGAACGGGCTGGGATTGATGGCAGCCCCGTACCATTCAGATCTCGGACTTCCATGTTTCTTGCTATTCAACTTGTGGATGAATTCTCCGTCGGATGTCGTTAGTCGATTGGGACCGATGCCTGTGCCCACCATGTAAGAGAAGGCGGCCAGAGACGATGAGCCATGACTCACGGGCTATAACCCCATATTT